CAGGACAAAGAGCAGCTACACTGCAGACTTTTAGAAATCTCAGGCAAAGCTGAATGCATGTTGGGCTGATTTTCCTGAGAGCTGGACAACAGGTAGGCAATTAGAATATGTATATTTAATATGTCGATCATCTATCACTTAAAAAAACTATGCTTGTGAGCTGGCCTGCTCTTTTCCTTGCCAATACACTCCACCTGTTCATACCACATGGGCTGACACCACCTAGAAGTGTCTTGTAAAGACTTCATAATTTTGATGTTATAATTACAGCTGCTCACACCTTCTCTGGCAGAACCTTGTTGAAATCCCAAAGCTCTGCTGAGACGCTGCTATTTCTACTGAACCATGTTGAAATTTTGGCCAGGATGGAATGAGACCTTGCCAGTTTTCCTGCCTGCTGGTTGCAAGAGACAAAATCCCCAAAGCCTCTTAAACTTCCCAGTTCTTCCCCAGCTTTCCCGTCAGCTGGCTCAGATTTGGCCAACTACCCTTGAATCAGATGTTTCCAAGCTGACTTATCCCCCACAAAATAGGAGGATGGAGACCTAGAAACCTTGAAGCTTCAAGCTTGTGACTCCCAAATGGCTGAACTCCAAGGCATGGGATGGTGTGTGCAAGGGAAAAATCACTGTGTTGCCCTGTACTCTCTTCCTTACCTTTCCTTCCTGGTCAATGCCAAAAAAATGGATGCTGGCTAGAAAGATATCTGGTCTGACCTCATAGGACGCCTCATCCTGCGACCACGATTTTTGTAGAGCTTTTAGTTTAGTCCGTCCAATATTTTGTTGTGGTTCAGTTGTTCAGCAGTGCTGGAAGTCAAGGCTTGCAACCTCACCTCCCTGCAGGATGACTTCTCCTGCAATGCATCAGCATCCTGCAACCATGCTGTGGTCAGAGAGGATCCTGCATTGCCTGGGGAGGGCATGTGGGCCTGATCCAGGGCTGCTCAGAAGGTCCGCTGCACAGTCAGGCAATGGAACTGAACATCAAATGGGTGTGCAATGCACATGTGCCAACCTACACGCTTTGATTCAAGTCAAATAATTCAGCCCTGTCTTTCTAATGGCAAGACAAAGATAGAAGAAAACTGAAATTGCCCTTGGAAAATTTTGCAGGAATTGCAATGTCCTCCGAGGAGATATTTTAATGAGAAATCTCCTGAAAATACTCATGGAAAACACTTCGGAGCCTAAGAATTTTTAAATTAGGATCACACTCCTTATTTACAAACCTTTTCTCCTTCCTGCCAATGTAAGAGATTTTAAAGTCAGTATTAAGCACATTAAAACAACAGAGCATGTGAAAATGGCTCACCACCAGGACTTTGAAAAGATATAATATACATTAGTAAAGCAGAAAAGAAATGTTTCTGAAACATTTCCTTTTAAATTGCAATAAAGACTACTTCTCTTTTGGGTTGAGATAGTCTTCTGTGTTGCTCTTTTGTGCTACAAGCCAAAATGCCTAAGGACTTAATTTGCATTTAGGTAAAGGGTGTGAATAAAAACTTGGTCAGTGAAGTAAAGAAACAGTTAGAAACAAAAGTGGCTTTCAAAAAGTGAAAGCCTATTTTTATCACAGAAGATCAGTGAAATGCAAAAAGAAGAATAAAACATAAGCACTGGGATGCTAGTCACTGTTTTGGCATTACTAATTCTGGGATTTCACAGAATTATAAATATGCTTTTCCTCCTCTTTAACATAATAGTGTCCCTTTAAATCTAATACAACAGAATAGCTGTCTGAGCTTGTTAAAATTCACACCATATAATTATGTCAGCTGAGTACCTGGATGCAAAGATTACTGCAGTAAAACAAAATAGTCAAGTTCAAAAGCAGATCAGAAAAAAAACCCATGCATTTGAATTTATTCTCGTGTAGCAAAACATGACAAGTATTCTGAGTTTCGGAAGCACTGATCATTCAGTCTCTGCAGGAATAAAAAGGAGCATTATGTGCCTGGTTGGGCTGGTTGTGGCTGGGACAGAGTTAATTTTCTTCACAGTAGCTGGTACAGGGATATGTCCTGGATTTGTGCTGGGAACAGTGTTGATAACACAGGGATGTTTTCGTTACAGCTGAGCAGTGCTTACACACAGTCAAGGCCTTTTCTGCTTCTCACCCCCCCCCACCAGCGAGGAGGCTGGGGGGGGACATAGCTGGGACAGCTGACCCCAACTGACCAAAGGGATATTCCATACCATATGACGTCATGCTCAGCATATAATGCTGGAGGAAGAAGAAGGAAGGGGGGGGACGTTCGGAGTGATGGCGTTTGTCTTCCCAAGTCACCGTTACGCGTGATGGAGCCCTGCTTTCCTGGGATGGCTGAACACCTGCCTGCCGGTGGGAAGCAGTGAATGAATTCCTTGGTTTGCTTTGCTTGCGTGCGCGGCTTTTGCTTTCCCTATTAAACTGTCTTTATCTCAACCCACGAGTTTTCTCACTTTTACCCTTCCGATTCTCTCCTCCATCAGCGAGCGGCTGGGTGGGGCCGAGTTGCCGGCTGGCATTAAACCACGACATTGGTGCCTACAAAAACCTGTCTGGAGCTGTCAAGCTATATTTCAGCATTCCCTGATTACCTGGATTGAGGCTAGGAAGAAACTCATCCCAGAGCTCAGAGAACTGTCAACAGATTATATGACTTTTTTTCCCTCTGGAGACATGGGGACTACTGAGGTTCTTGTTTCAGTGTAGAAATATTCCTGGTTTTACTGTCCTTTGCAGAGGCACTCAGTATATGAAGCAGCTCAGAAACTTTGCGAGTCAAAGCATTAGAGATTCAGGACAGCATTGACACATGCATTTCTGTCTGAAACTACTTATCTATCCACTTAAAAAAAAAAAATCCATTTTTCAATTGAAAATTCAGGTTTTCAATATTAAAGTCCAGCAAGGGACTACACATCGGTGCCCCAGCTTCTAAAATGATTGCTCTAAAAGATATTACGACTGAACCATGCTGTCCTTTGAGCTGTGAAAGACTGTCCGTGGCTTGTCACAGCTCTCCTGCTCTGAATGACTTTCATGCGTTGAGTGATCGCTGCTTGGCTTGCAAAGGTCAGAGGAGAAAAACATAAGCTAGAAATCAATCACAGCCCAGAGCGGCTTTGGCCTGGGCAGCCACATTCCAGCTTCTGTATCTGTGAACTTGAGGGCAAAATGGAGAGATCAAATAACTTTAAAGCGGCAACGTTGACTTGGGATGAGATGGATGGAGATTCTTTCTATATGTCAGGAGGGCAATATTGTGGTGCTGCCCATAAGACAGTGTAGGAAAAGACCACTTGGGTTTTTGAGCCTGGCACCCATGAATTTTTCAAGCACTCATTACTCTTCCACCCTGCAGGTTTTCCTTGCCTCAGCCACAGCTGGAAGCACAGTCCCCCCCTTAAACAGTCAGTAAATCCCATCTGGCTCCTGGCCATTTGGTCTCTCATTTTTTTGCTGTGGTCTCAGGAGGGAAGCGGACACTTGCATGCATGCACTGCTTGAAACCAGAGCTGTGACTGCCGCTGCTGTATCCATCCCGAACCTGACCTCCAGCTTCCAGACCAGGGTTGGACCAGGCTGGACCACAGACAACACGGTTCTGCTGCTGCATGCAAGTCAGCCGCTGGCTTTATTCAACCTCTCCTTGGACACCTGGAGTTACAGGTGGCACAAACAGCTCTCCCTGGAGTATAAGCTCCCTCATCCCCTCCGACTGTTGTGAATATTTTGTCTTTTTAATTAAGTCTTGATTTTCTTTGCTTTTGGAATTGGGTCATTTATATTTTCCTCTGAAATCTAGTCCAAAAAAAAAGGGAATTAATTCCTTTCTTCTCCAGGCAAGGATCCATTCCCAGGACATGCTGTCCTCACTGACTGTCCTGAAGGGGTTAAACATGAATGCCTGGGCTTAGTGTCACATCGCCTACGGCAGTTTGCAGACGTTCCTTGTTATAAATTTAATCTGTCTTTAAACAGGTGCATCCCATGGGTGACTGGGATATACCGCAGAGGTTATATTTGTTTCTCCTGACGCTGCAGAAGCAGCAACCCTCTTGCTGAGCAGGTCCCAACCTCACACCGAGCAGTATTTTGTATCTCTCAATCCTGGGACTGAGTGGGGACTGGGAGCATCCTAACGAAACCCTGACCAAGCAGCCTTGAGAGAGTGACGCTGCTCGGAACTTGAGCTTTGGGATAGCAAACACCTCTCAAGTGTGGTTTGGGGAGGTTGGACAGACGAGACAATCTCTCAAATTTCCTTCCATCATTTTTTTCTATGCCTTGTGTGTGCTTTAGTGTTAAGATGACTGGTTGTGGCTGTAGAAAAGGCTCTGGAAAGCTAACCAGTTGGTGGTTCGTTGCCATGTAGGGCCATGAAGGTGTATATACGTTACTTAAGAGTCACTTCAATTTTGGTTTGGAGTCCTAAGCAAGATTTCAGATGAAGATGCTTTGCACTGCCCCTCTGAACTGCAGCCTTCACCACCAGCAGTCCTGCACGAATTAGGAAGAGTCTGATGCAATTTAAGAGTAACTGGGGGCAAAGAAGATTCCCAAAGTGAATGACAGCATGTTTATTCACCATAACCAGAGTTCCTTGAGTTAGCTCTGATCCATGCTAGTCGCTGCAGCATACTGCTTCATGGTCCAAGAGGCTCAGATAACACCAGTGCGGGCACATCTGCACCCTGGCTGTGGATGTGGCCTTTGCACACCCTCAGCCCAGGGTACGAGGACGCAGGTTTTAATAGTTGGTCTCTGCATAGCCACCTCAGTCTTGGATGTTATAATCCCCAAATGCACGCCCCGGGTTAACGTGACGAAGGCAGATGAAATTTCTAGAGCCATTTCCCAACCGGTTAATCTAAAGATCCCTTCCCTCAGCACCACCTTATGTCCAAGCTATTCCCTAACATCTAGGAGACTTAAGCACTTCACCAAGTATCTGTATCTCAGCAATGCATCCTCAGCCCATGGAGGAAGGTGACAGATCCTTGTCTTACCTTGGTCTGGAACGTACAGAAGACATGAGTCAGGAATGGGTGCTCCCAAGCTAAGGAGAGGACTCTCTTCTCCACCATCGTACATTCAACGTCATCATCCATCAGCACCACATCCTTCTTCAGGGCTTTCACAGCAAAATACTGGTCTGTGCTCTTCAGCTCGGCAAGGAACACCTAGGGTGGAAACAACTGCTCAGAAAGAGCGATGCTCTTCTCTCAGCACTGGCAACTCAGCCATGTGAGGGTGGGAGCTGAGCTCTGAGGAATTCACTGGGGTAGACCTTAAAAAAGCTGATGTTTAAGGCCCAATTCTGCTATTAAGACTACGTAGACTTTGAGTTTCTTCCCCACACCCAGAATAGTTTTATGAAGCTGAACCCTGGGGAAGGATGAGACGGTCTTGGCAACTACAAGAGCTACATGTCCGTATGGACAGGACATGACAGAGAGCCAAACACTTCTGATAACAGAAACTATCTTTATGCAAACGCTCATGAGATACATTTCCTGTTTTCTGACTTGAAATAACAAAACACAGAATACTGCTTTGTCAACATGTGAAATGCAAATGCCCTGCACCAGATCCTTAGCAGGTGTAAAGTGATGTCCACCAGCAGTTAGACTGAGCTATATCAGATGTGACTTTCTCCCCTTCCTTCCAGTTAACAAGAGGCCTGAGCAAACCGGCTGGATCCCCTGTGCTTCTGCAGGACGACTTCTCTGAGAAGAGCAAAACGCATCCCAGAGGAGTTAGGACGTCTATCTAGGGCAGGGAAAATGAGACATGGAGCAGCAAAGAAGAGTTTTCTAGAGACCACAGAGCAAAGAAGTCTCCGCTGGAAGGCAGTGCCAGTCCTGATCTTTACGCTAACAGCCTGTCGACGCTGTTTCCCATAGTCTGAATAAATATGTAAGATTCATCAAAGAGGTCTTTGAAGTTCTCTACCAGACAGTATTTACTGAGTAAGCTCAGACATGTTTTAGCCCTGACAAAAGTTTTATTTACCCTTTTGGCTACTGCTGCATTTCACTTTGTAGCACTAGACAGAGAGTAGAGCCTAGAGCCTCCCTCTGTCTCTGCAGTGAATGACCAGAAATGCTAACAGTGCTGATGCTGCAGGCGCCCTTTTTACCCCCATTTTTGTGCAGGGCACTGCTCTCCTGGGGAAACTGGGGAACGCAGGACATTTGTGACTTGTGCTGTGAATTCCAAGGTGCAGGCAAGCAACGCTAGACCTCAGGCAGAGGAGGCTTCTTCATGGGTCTGGCCCTAAACCTCCCTGGTCCACGTAGAGCTGGAGAGACCCCTCAGGCACTGAGATCTGCAAACCCTGTCCCCTCTATGGGGAAGTGAATCTCACTCTAAGCAAATAAGGGCAGCAGGAGCAACACCTACACAGGAAACTTGTGGGTGACGTTTGTTGCAGAAGGGCATGAAATAGCCCATCCTCTCCACACCCACATGGTGCACTGCAGAGAGATGCAGAGGCTTGCAGGCTTGGCGAGTCCATGTTAACACAGGGGGCTGAAGCAAGGTACAGAATTTGCTTCAATGGAGGTATTCAAGACTTGAGTAGACAAACCCCTGAGCAACCTCATCCTAGACCTGTTTTGAGGAGAAGATTGGATTAGATGACCTCCAGAGGTCCCTTCCTTCCAACGTAAATGTTTCTATGACATCTATGCTCTTGAGTCCAGGTTAGTCTGGGCTGTGGATGTTGGAGTATTCTGGCTTAGCTCTAATTGAGATGCCTTAGCTCATGCAAACTGTAGACATGCCAAGTATTTTCTAGTATGGAAAGCCAACACAGCAAATATTTCACCAGTTTAAGAATTGGCTGCAGCAATTGCTCCAGCTCACTTAGCAAGCAAAAAGCAGCCCTTCTTTAAGGCACAGTTTCTACCTTGGAAAGATGTGGGATCTGAGCAATGCGATACATAATGATATTCATTCTCCTTATTGGCTGTGAAAATACAATGGTGAGTTCCTCTGAAATTGCTTCATGCAGCTCTGCGCTGGCACTGAATAACACGAGTCCCCCTCCAGGGGACATCTGCAAGAAGGAGGAACAATCCACAATTCATCAAGATTAATGAATCCACTGAAAACAGGTGGTTCTTGTTTTGAAAGCACAAATTCTTGGCTGTTGCAAAATTTGCTTTACGCTCCAGCACAGATCGGAGCTGGGAAAGAGCAGTTAGCGTTCCCAGCTGGGGACCTGCTGCTCTGGAGAGGGGAGGTGATCCACACTCAACTTTTCAGCTAATGCTTCTGCCTCCCTCCGAGCTTGCTCAGCTACGTTGGCAGGAGTAGCTGCATGAATGGGGACGGCACAGAGATCTTTCCCACCAGCTCTCTGTAGATGCTCAGGCCCCATCAACCTGCACAGAAGGGGACGTTGCAGCTTTACTTGGCTGCTTTCCTCTCCTGTCATGGGCACTCATGAGACAGCAAACTAACGGGGCAGAGGGAAGGGCAAGGAAGATCTTTGTCTTAGGCAAGGAGAAGACCGAGTTCAAGACTCAGCCATGTCAGAGCAAGGGTTCTTTGGGGGCTTGGAGATGTTTTTTCCTAAGTGGCCTTCAAACCACATGCTATTTAGTGCCATAATAAGCAATATGCAGACCTGTGCAGTGGCGTCTAGTCCCCTGATGCTTACCTTGCCAAAACTGCCCTTCCCCAGCATCTTGTGCAGGACAAAATCTTCGATGGTTAGTTTTAGCTGCACTTGGTGCTCTTCCTGCTCCTGGGGCTGTTCTCCCAAGTCTGACTCTATTAGAGACTCCCCCTTCACTGTGCCCTCCACCGGAGTCTCCCAGGAGATGCCCTGTGGCTCTGCAACACACATCAAAGCATTCAAATAAACCCCTGGAAATGAGCAGAAAATCCCAGAACACTTACAGGTATTGTGTTTAGAGTTTTAAAAGGGTATTTCAAATAAATGGAAATGTGGTGGCCACATCTACTAAGTAGGTTGGCTCTGCTCCCACATTGCTTTCTCTCCAGGGAAAATTTTACTCCAGTGTAACTCCACCTTCTTCAGTGGCATTACTCCCACTTTACAAACTCCTTCATCTGTCTTTCTATTTTACAGCAGCAAAACATGACCAAACCCTTCATTTCTGCCACTTGTGTTCTTCATTCCTTCTTGCTGGTTGCCGTTATGATGTAGTCCCATTTTTTCGAGGCCTTTTCAAGACCCTTGGCAAAGCTAGCACTTGAAAAGACGGGACAGCATTTTCATATTGGGTCCCTGCTCCAGATGTGAAGCTCTGATTAAGTACTCCAGCTGTCCTGGAGTGGAACTACTCGGAGTTTCTTCAATACTCCATTCACTTGGATGTTCGTGATCTTCTAAGAGATTCTGTCCCTTACAGGATTTATCCCATGTACTCAAGTGCACATTTGCTGTACTGTCCTAAGCTGCTGAACAGCAAGAACACTATTCAGCAGACAAACAGACCCACAGGTAAACCAGATTTGAAATCGTTTGGGGCTTTACTGATTCACATCAGCATAGCCAGTTCTACTTGCAGAAAAAAAAGAAAATAAGCACAGATGGGGACATAATTTATTTCCCCTCGGGGACCAAAGGGTGCTGTCCCCTTAGCTCAGATGGTACCAAAACCAGCCTTTGAGGCTTGGTAGCCTGGTGCTGCACAGTATCAAACCCAGAGCACTGGTATAATGTGGCTCTGCCGTGCTTTAACTGGTGCCTTCTGACATTTTGCTTTAGGTCCAGTTTCTAGGATATTATCTCCACACAGGGCAGTATTAACTTGCATTGAGAAAGTGGGTGATGGTGGAGCCTGGGCTCTCAGCTTGACTTTTGGTTAGGGTTGGAGCTGAGCACCCACTGTCCCAGTCCTTGCTAGGTTTAAATATTCATTCACTTGTACTCTTCTTTTTTCCCTCCCCTTTCAGGTAGATGCATTTTAAAGCTTGTGGGAGGCAGAAAAGCATTGTGTCAGTGCCATCACAGGTCTGCTGCAGTTACAGTATAGTTCTTGGAGGGGTACCATGAAGTTGGAGAGGTCCTGAAATGGCCTTTTACGTGGGCCACATGGGTCTAATGAAAGATGGTGACATTTTTGCTCCTAACATCCAGAGTTCTGTGACTCAAGCACAAAGCAGACAAACAAGGGATCTCCCTAGGAGACTGTAATTTTTGTTTTAGGCCACTAAGCCCCCAGCAGCTTTGTCCAATGTCTGTTAATCAATGCTCTTCCCTGATCTCTCATTCACCCTCCTAAATGTCTGCTCTTGTAGCACAGAGGGCCATGACACCTAGATCAGCTCCTGGATGAATGAAGTGGGGATCTGTCAATGGTTTTCAAAGATACTGGATGTCAACCCCCACTCAAGAATAACAAATCAGAAAGAGAATTGGCCATGGCGATCAGAAGGACTCCCAATCTCCTGTTTAGAGCTTGGTTTCTCTTTTAAAGTTCTCAGATTTTATGTCTATGAGTCCCAAGAAGGGAATAAACACATTATTGCCAGTGGAGGTATGAGGTGTGCTCAAGTACCGGGTCAGAAAGAGAGTTTAGGGGTTAGCTGAATGAGTGGTGGTTGGTGTCTCATGTCACCAGAGGTTGGGATGGCATGGGGGAAGTGAAGGTTTATAGAAGGGAAAGGAACCAGGTTGGGATCTAGGGTATCGGCCATGGCCAAGTGATGTGGCTGGGAAAAGTTGTTGATATGAGAAAAGGTATGTCTTGCTCTAGGCTGGAAAGATGCATGAGAGATTCAATGGCTAATAAATTCCCCATCCTTGTCACCTCCACCTAACCATGTACCAACCAAAAAATAACAAAGCCTGCTGTCCCATATCACTAGGGGAAACTACCTTTTTTTCCTGTTGTAGATGCTGGCAATGCCTGAAGCGGTGTTACCTCCTTCACAGGAACTGGGAAGCCAATTTCAAGAGGTCCATCCCTGGAGATCTGTTCAGTGTCACGCTGACAGCGAGCCTGGATTACAGAAAACAGCAAATGACTTTTGAGCCAAGTGTCATGTTCTGAGCTTACAGACACTGTGGCTTCTTGAGTGTGACTGTCACAGAAGTCAAGATCTAGAAGAGGTCTTTGCTTAGGAGAAGAGCATCTCTGTACCTAATGTTTAGGGGTTTGGTAACAGAGGAACCCACAGCCTTCTGTGAGATGTGTGTGGGTGTTAACAGGTCTTTGTATTCCCAACATAGAGATCCCCTATTTTGCACAGGGGTCTGAGTCCCTGGCTATCCACACAAAGGGCATTTTAATTAACAACTTCCTTCTCAACAGTCCTCTTTGAAGAGAAATCTGGAAAAATACTAGAGGCTGGAACATGCTGCAGCCTCATCCCTGTACACTCTCTGGATGTCACTCTGAAGAACTCCTTGCACCAGGACGTTGCAGAAGGTAAGACTTTGTCTGGATTCAAGGGTGATGAGACAAAAGCATGAAAGATAAATCCTCTGAGGGCTACTAAACACTAAGACTCCACCTATGGCTCAGGAAGTCCCCAAAGCCTAAATTTCTGGAGATTAGAAGAGTATTTTGGGGAAACTGTCTTCACCTCTCAATGGTGACTCCAAGTATACAGTGCAAGGAGCTGTAGAGAGATAGCAGGTAGGAAATAGGGAAGCAAGAGCAGAAAAACATCCTCTTCGGAGGTTTAGCAGCACTATCACAAAAAGGTGAGAAATACACAGAGCTAAACCATGTAGACAGCCCCTCAGGAAGGTATAAATACTTGAATAACCTAAATATGGAGGACTAGGCACCTAAGGATTTTGTCCCTCTCTGAAGTTACTCAAGAGCTGAAAGTCATCCTAACGATCCTGATTTTGAACTAGAATCTTTAAATTCTTTTATGGTTTTGGGCTTGCAACAAGCTATTTTTCCTTAATTCATTTTTCTCTGTTCATACAGTGTTCTTTATATGACACTAGTATCTAGATCCTCTCCTCAAGGCCCAGGTCTCCTCATGAGAGTCCATGCTCTGGGAGAGTTCCATTCCAAACAGATCAGAGAGTCACAGGACAAATCGCTAAGTCACAAGCACGGAGCAAGGTAGTGACAGCAAAAGGACCCAAACCAAGTTCCTCTCGCTCTGCCTTGGATCCTGGTACACAACCTCAGCTACGAACATAATGTAACTACAACTGTACCGAATCAGAGTAAGATTCCATCCAGGTCATGTCCCATCTGCAACAGGGGTCAAGCAGACACCAGGTAAAGATATGAGAAGAGTGCAGGCATGCAAAGTCACCTCCTTAGAATATTCTCCCTATCTCCAGAGATATGCGGCTCAGAGATTTCCTGGTTCAAAGGCAGTGCTTTTCTATTAACAGAATTAATCGTTCTAGTATTCCTGAATGGATTTCTCTTCTATGAACACTGGAGATTGCCACTTGAACCCATGAAAACTTTTGGCCTCCCCAAAGTGCTGAGATGAGCTTAACTACCTGTTCCATGAAGGACCCATTTCCTAGTCTTTACTTTGAACTTGCTACCCACAGTGCTCCACCCAATGCCCCTATTTCTTGCACTGAAACAAACATTGAACAATTGATCGTCCTTTCTCCAGGTCACTCAAGGCTTAAAGTATTTACCTGCTGGGTGCTCTCTATCATTGCCAGAGCTTCAGCCATTAGTTTCTGGTTAACTCCACAAAGGTTTGCTACTTTTGTCTGGCACTTGTGATGGACGTTCATGCCACATGCTAAAAGAAAGAACAAGAGATGTCAGGACAACAAAGGATAGCTAGGCTGTAAAGGGTTTGACATCAGGTTGGGCAGGAATATGTGCTGCTGTTGGTCAAGGGCAGAGATCAGCCACGTAAATAGCTCAAAGCCTGGGAACCATTTATGTTTCATGAGATGGCACTCAGGTCATTTTTTGGTTCTCTATGGACACAAAGGTTTTTTATATCTTCTTCTGGGCAAAAGGTTGCATTTCCACATCCATCAGCCTACATCAGTCTACAATCTGTCAGCTCAGAGGTAAACTGTAATCACAGAACGGGATCTCCCCGTTGGTATGGGATTATGAAGATGGTGAAGTGTCTTGGATCTGTCTGATAGTGGAAATAGAGCATGCAAGTCGATACTAGGAGTGATACTTTGGAAGATCAGCAGTGTCACTGAGATGTTCTTTGCCTCTCTGGAAAGTGACTCTTCACCCTCGTGGACCACATATCTTTCTGTATACTGACAGTTGTCATCCTCCTTGAAGAATGATCCTCCTGGAAGGATGATCCTCTTGACCACCCCAGATGCCATCTCATACAGGTCTTGTAGAGAAGTGTGATAAATGAGACTTGGCGATTCAGATTGCAACCCTCTAAAGACAATGGTCCATTCCCATGCTCAGCTCGTGCTACATACATCAGGGACTCACCATCACACTTCAGTCCTTGCCGTGCAAGGCCCCAGAGGAGCGTGCCGCAGTGCTCACAGAAAGTTGGGCTCTTGTAGTTGTAGACTTTGAAGCGGTGATGCTCTTTATGGAACTGCAAGAGAAAAGCAGTGTTGGCAATTCACTCCTCTCCACCTCAGCTCTGTATGGAAAACCAACAGTCCCCAGGCTTGTACCACAGAAGATGGGATGTCTACTGCCCCTTTATTCATGAGTATGACCACCAAGAAGAAACTATATCATTCAGATATACAAAGCTAAATTTTGATACATAGTATTTGTGCAATTTAGTGGGAACTGGGTAATTTAATCCCTAGGCTTGATTTATCTGACCAGATAACTCGCATCTCAGCTACGCACCCAGATTCCCTCAATGTTCAATGGAAAAACAGGGGTACTTCTAAAAATTATTCATTCCATCCTGAAATGGATGTCTACATTTGTTGTCATGAATCACTCTTCGGAAGAGACTATTTTTCTTCTTTTAGTTTATAGGGAGTCAAAGGTGATGACAAAGTTGGATACATCTACCCTGCAGATGTCAGAAGATGGGCAAGACGAATCTCATTTCTAAAGACTGTAAAAGAAGAACAGGAGCCAGGGTACGACTGGAAGCAAACAGAAGGTGTGGGACACGAATAAGAAAAAGGGAAGAGTCTTATCAAGAGTTTAAGTTCCACTTTTGCCCACCAAAAAAGAAGGTTTATTATAAACTCATATGAGAGAAATAAAATAAATAATAGTGGAGATGCTAGATCTTCCACTGACTGTTTGGAAATCTCAGATAACACAGAGTGGGATGTTAAAGTACTGCTCTGAAAATTCAGCGTGACGTCCTGCCTAACATCACTTAGTGAAGAATTTCCTCCAGTAAATCTCCACCTCATGTCCACGACTTCCCTCTGAGCTGTACTTTATACATTAGAAAAATGTCAGCCCTGATTCAGCAACTGCTTATTCAGTGGCTGCATTTGAGTAAATCAGAAGCAGGAGGTAATGAAACCACTGGGAACGTAAAAAACAAAGGGCACAGATCAGATCACACAGCCCTTAGTTCAGTAGCACTTTTTGCTTCACCAGAAGTTGTTTTACAGCAATGTAGGTGAGATCTGAATGACGCCCAAGTTTTTTAAAAGCAGCCAAATCATAATCCATACCATTGTTTCTCTGCTGTTGATTGCTGATCCTGTACACTTGGCTATTACTTTATCAATGCACTTCTTATGAATGGCAGCATTACATTCTGAAAGAACAAGTATGTCATGGCGTTAATAAAAAAAATCCTTAAAAAAGGATCAAGTAAATAATGATAGTAACAAAATCAAAAAAGTTTCTTACGTCTGCATTGATAACCTTGTTTATTCAGACCCCTGAAAGAAACAGAGAAATGGTTAATTCTGAATTTTCTGAAAGCCTCGACAGTAGAAAGGAAAGCAACATTTACGAAAGAAACAGAATAAACCAGCTTTGCTTTTTATCGGTCTTTATAGAGCTTCTCTAATCTAAATATCTTAGTTCAATCTAACTGTGGAGTGATTCTCTGTGGTTTTCACAGCCTTTTCAGCACATATTCACATTCTGAATTTCACAATATCCAAATAGCAAACGGGGCTGATGAGACATGTTTGTGCATTTGGCCAAAGACAAAAATATTTATAAAAAATAAACTAAAAAACGAAGGGAATTTTCACAGTTGGAATTACAACTGTGAACCACATCCTCGAAGTGATGCAATAACTCTACAAGTAAGATGCCAAGGGTCCAGTCCTGCTGCCTTTCCTGACAGCAGGAGCACAGATATTCACCGGAGAATCATAGAATCATTTACGCTGGAAAAGACCTTTAAGATCATTGAGTCCAACCGTAAACCTAACACTGCCAAGTCCTCCACTAAGCTGCATCCCTACGTGCCACGTCTACACAAGAACTGGTCCCTAGGTTTAAAAGTGGAAAATGCATGGATCTATTTTCATTTACCACACAAACTCGTGACAGACAGAGCAGAAGGTGGGTTGTGGGAAGAAGGTGGCTGTGAACTCATGACACTTGACATTATGGATTTTGGCCTGTTTGATGGCTCCCCTGCGCTGGTGCAAGGAGAAAAAGCCTTCAGCCTCACAGTCAGCCAGGTCCTTTGCATCTGGGGGGAAAGGAAACAGAAGATTTATTAGGGTACCCTGTCCTGACCAGGCGCCTTGAGAAAATGCAGCTGCCAAATACTAAGTGACTGAAGCTAATGATTCACTCAGGGAAATGAATATTTTTAAGAAATACCGTTTTCTGAAACCCACACAAGGCTTGTTTGGATGCTTTTTTATCTACCATTCCTACAAGGACACTAGAATGACTTTAAACTTGGGACTCTGAGCTCCCTTGAATATTCATAATGCTGCTTTTGAAATGTAGACCAGAAATTTCCCAAGGAGAGATAATTTGCAGTTAAACATAAAATTCTAACTTTGTTTAGCACTGAAGAATCATGCCCTAAAAAGATGAAATTACATAAAAATTAATAATTACCTATATATGCACTCAAACACACATACATATATTTATATGTTGGTATTTAACTGAATCTTTTATGTGTGCATGTACGTGTGTGTGAGTAAGCACTTAGGTATCTTCCTAGGATATTCTTTTTCTTGTTATTTTTCCATGCCAACAATTGTTTTGCTGTTTGTTGTATCCACGCCATTATTCACAGTTCACATTTAAACTTTTTAGAACAGCAAACCAATTCTGACTACACAAGCATACACACATGTCCACTTATATATGTGCCTGTGTCTACAAATCTAGATATGCACACAGTATCTCACTCTCAATCTCTGTTTTGTTTTACTCATGCATTACACAGCAAGTTACATAGGTATTCTGTGGAAACTGGCCCCCTGTGTGTTCTGATGCTGATCTTGCTATTTGTAATACAAACACAACTTGCATTTTCTATGCTTTGGCTTCTCTGATATCTTACACAAGGAGGCAACAATAGTCTGCTCTATATTAAAGGTAGGAATGAATGAAGAAAATATCCGTATGGGCATGCTATTTGCTGCTTTCAGTACTTCTGTGTTTCTATAAATGGAAGGTCCTTCTAGATATCTACACCTTACAGCTTCACCCCACATCTTTGAAAGGCAGCGCGAACTTTGGCATCAAAGACAGGAGAATAAGACCGAGCATTTGGATTGCAACCCACTTCCTTCAACAAAGCAAAACGCATTTCACATAGACATCAAACTCTGCAGGTGGGATGTGGTTCCCGGTGAAGACATGTAAATGACGGTGTGTCCCCTGTCCAGGGTGACTAAGCTGCTGCCACGTCCCTGGAGGTCTAGCTGGAGCAGGCAATGGAGCCCGGTGAATGACTCGGCTCACCTTGCAGCAGAAACCTTCATTTGATCAGATAAATCACTCTCTAGGTTCTTATCCTGTTTTGCCCAGATTGCTCTTGATCTTAAAAGCCCAACTAACACGTATACTTAGGTGTTGTCAACCGTAAATTGTATCCCAACCTTTACATCTGCACTATAATTCACACCACGGCACATGTTACATGAATATATACAAGCAGAATGATTTCAGAGGGAGCTGGCTCCTTATGTATCTATCCCGTGTTACCTAACATAATGAGAAAATCTACCATTTTAGTGGTAAAACAGCCAAAAATCTGCCTTGCACATCACAAAGGAACAGCCAATCTTCATCCCCACCACACAATAAAAATCGCTTTTTCTGGAGTCTTTATTTCAAACTGTTATGATAGTTCCTATGAATAAATCAGTAATAACATAGGCACTGCTTTCAGTGAAGGCACCTTGTCTGCCCCACATAATCAGAAATCACATCTATCAATTAACAAACAAAATCACTTGCCACTTATTTCCAGGAAGTATCTGGCATTCATCAGCATTCGGCCTTGAGGTTTCAGTTCTAGCTGGTTGAGGTAAATGAGAAACAAGAAAAAAAGACCAGTGCAATCATTAAACAGTCATTCAAAGAAACAACAATAATTTCAGACGACTCAAGCTATCTCTTTTTCCAGTGGGAATTGGTGAATGCCAATGTGAATGCTAATTTTTGGGTTGCTCATACCCACGTGGCAGGGTAGAAGCAACTATAGAGAGAGGAGGCTAGATCACCTCTTATCAAACTCTTGGAGCGGCATGATAGAAGAGATAAATGTGACTAAACTACAGAAGCTGGAGGCAGGTTTTTAGACACCAGCTCAGGACCAGCACTATCTATAGAGAAAACTTGTCATTCCCAGTGGATCCTGCAAGCGGGAAGTGGGAGCACCTCAAAAAAACCCAGCCAACTTCAGACAGGTACTTAAAAGATGCTGAAATCTTTTAGGCACTTGGTTCTGCAAGTCTAACTTCCATTACAGTCAATGTGAGTGATGCTACAAGCTTAGTCAGGCATTTTTTGGGGCCTTCCTACTGGAAATTCCTACCTATCTGAACCTCCGTCCACAGGTGCCCAAAAATGCTATTCTCTCTCCTCATGACCCTTGCAGGATGAGGTATCTGGGACCACCCTCCCCAGGTTGTACCTTGTATCGGGGAGTGAGAGGACAGAAGATCTCAGGAGCTGGGACACAACAGGACCAGGGTCTCCCAACTCCACTTGACCTCGGGTCTGTCACCCTTGTGCCCCCTCTCCTCCCCTCCAGGCTACTGCCTCCCATGGCTTTGAAGCCTGGCATTGGAGTCACGCTGAGCAGAGCCTTTTGGTTTTCAGTTCCGTCCCTAAATATCTCAATTCCTTCCAAGTCATCTGTGAAATGTGCAAATCTCTACCAAATTTTGCTCTTAGGTCTGTTAAGCGACCAAGGCCTTTTTGACTTTTCTACTCTCTGCTTAACCCAAGCAGCTTAGCCTGAGAACTGGCATGAGAAATAAAACTAACAAAAAAAAAATTCCAGGAAATCAGTTTCTCTCCAAATGCCTTTCCACTTTATTGTTATTCATGGCATGGCTACCGAATACTACGTGTTAAAGACTATTATCAAGAACTTTCTTGCTTGGACTACCAGGGAACACAACGTTACATTTAGCATCATTATGAAGACTGTTACTTCAAATTTACTTCACTGTAACTCCAGCGATTTTAAAGGAGTTCCTCTGACATAACTCTGAAGTCAGGCAGCTGTGAATTAGTTACTTGCTATCAGATGAAATTTTTAAAGCTGTTTCCCCAGAGCACATAAAATAATTCACATTTAGTGACTCATATTACCATTTGTCACCAGTGGGTTTCCTAAGCAAAGATTAATACGTGGGCACGGCTCACCTGAACCAGAATCCTTGCTAACAGAGGGCATATGTTTCAATATAACAGCAGCAGGTAATATAAATGTGCCATGCTCTTTTTTTCTGATATGCATGGAAGTCTTTCCTTCAAGTCATATCCAAGTAGACTCAAAACATGATTCCTTGGATGGCAGCCAGTTCCCCCTGCCCTGCTGGTTACAGTCACAGCCCGGCACGGACACAAGGCATTCCCCTACCCCACAGCAGCTCCTCATCACATCCCGCAAGAGGAGAGAACGATGCTCACCCATATCTCTGTCTTCCCATTGCTCTTTTTGCACCTCTCTGCCAGCACCTTGAGTTCCACCGTGGTCTCTGAAACCATTTCAGCACTTTTGTCCTTGACGACGATGTGCATGACCCTGCCGTTGTTGATGTGGGCATCGAAAGTGCTGTTCCAGGGTGGGTACATGGTGGGCTTCTTCTGCACGTACACTTGGCCATTTTCTGTCAATAAGAAGTGGTTTGGATTGACTGGACTTGCTTCTCATCCGCACTAAGGCCACCACTTTACAGTCCCTGAGACAGATCTGTGTTATTTACCCACTTTAAGGTCTCTCTCTAGGCAGGGTGTTAGAGGTTACAAGGTTACTGTGTGAAGTGAAACCTAGGAAAGGATCCAAGTCACTTAACTTTAGGTGTCTACAATGTATACGCCCGTATCTGAGCTGTCTTAACATTGGGCCCATTCAGAGCCAGTGAAGAGAATATAATCAATATAAATCAACGGAGTTAGGGTGTGTTTGTTTGACCAAACGCAGACATCTACCTTAGAAAAGATAATTTCCACCCTGACTCCATTAACTCTCTTGAGTAGACCTCAAATGTAGACTCTGACACCATCGATACCCACTTCTAATCAGGTGAATCTCATCACAGATAACCAGCTACACGTATCATCTGTCCCATGGCAATGCAAAATGAAACAGGTTTGCTTCAATCCCCCCAAAAGCTGGATGCGCTTTATGATCAAGGTTCAGCGCATGCTACATCTCAGCTAACTCAAGGATGTTGATATATGAACTGTCTTGCAGATCTGCAACCACATCCACGGTGATATAGAGTTTTCAACCTAGCAAGCTTTTCCTGCACCTCTTTCTCATGCATTAATTCATCTTCCTTCACAGCAGACACATCTTAAAACCGTGAAGGGTATCTCTGAGGCTCAGCATTAGCTTGCAGAGAGTTATCCCTAGTTCTCTCTGAAAAGAGTCTCACCCAGCTTTATTTATTTCATACATTTTATTTCATATAGCGCTGTAAAAGTCTTGGACACTTACATGAGGTAAATTCTATTTCACAGTTACCCTCTGCAAATTTTCAACCCATCAAATGCTGAAGCTGGTGGAATAAGAGAATAAAAAGCAGTCGTGTGAGCAGCAGACCTGTGACTCCTGTCTCCTAAAGACGCTGCTCCTATTTCCAATAATCCCAGCCTTTCCCTCATCCCATCCAGCTGGAAAAGCACATGCAGCCGACAGCCGGGAATGCAGCTTTTTTGATGGGATGACTAATTCCTCTGCTCGGCTTTTATTTACACACCTTCAGGATGGATTAAAACGGGTAAACAAGCTCCAAAGCTAGTGGAGGCAGGAGAGAAGAAGAAAAAAGGAAACAGTGACTCCTGGATTGTGTAATATTCATCTCCAAAAAGGAGACAATGTTTATTGGGGAGAGAACAAATATCAGGGCTGTGAGAATATTAAAAAAATCTCCCTTCACCACCCTGTCTACTGGTTTCCTATGAAAGGAGAAACAACTGCCAGAGCCACCAGACAGATCTAGGTTGAGGAAGCAGCTTCCTGAGGAGAGGCAGGCAGGATCCTGCAACCAATACCGACTTGCTGAAATTTCACTCCACGACCCAACACCTGGCTCTCACAAAGCGGTTTTGCGCTTGGTTCGATCGCATGAACGTGATGCGAGCTGCGATCCGCTCTGACCATCGGCACTGGTCTGCACCGCAAAACTGCAGCGTAAAATCACCTCTCACACTTGTCCTGCCTGGTATGACAAGCGGCTGTGTAGCTAAACCTTAGGTTCAAATTCAGTTTCCCCAAAGTTTAGAGAACCTCAATCTAAGGTGAATCCACCTCTATCAGTTAAGCGAGTTTGACTTTTCACATATGCAGATTTAGGCAATCATATACTGAGCTCATTGTCTGCAGGCTTAATTCATTCCCATCAAGCTTGCAAATACATATTCAACGCACTCTTTCAACAAAAGCAGACAAAATGAGACATAAAAATGAGACATAAATTTCCCAGCGCCAGGGAGAACAGAAATCTCAGTAAGGACCATTATTTCTTTGCTACATCAGTGAATCTCCACGGATGAGAAACACAGCACTTGCAAAACAAGTGCTTTCGTTTGCATTGCACTCCAAAACATACGGCTTAAATAAACAAACCCTGGAATGTGAATGAACTGTCCAATATACGGGATCAGACAGTCACCCCCGGCGCATCCCCGCTGACGTCTGTGGAATTCTGCCAGGGATTAATCTAACCCTGGATTCCTGAAAAATAAAATAGCATCTGTCTTTCCCAGGCAGCGGCTTCTACTGTAGCTGGGAGCACTTTTCCTGGAGGCTTGCTGAGTTCAAACACGGAGCAGGATCTTTCACGAAGCAAATGTCACCAAGACAGGTGGTGAAATGGCATCGGGCCGGGTGGGTTGTGAAGGCAGAAGCCATTTTTAAAGGGCAGATTTTTTTATACCTCAGAGGCTCCTATGATCTCTGAAATGGTTTGTCTTCAGCAACAAATTGCTATAACGCTTCTAACTACATGGAGGCGTTTGGTTTTTTTTAAAGATTATATCATAAAATACCAGGATGCCTTTTACAAAATGAACAAGTGGGAAAAAAAAAGATTGCCCAATATTTTTCCTGAGCTTCTGAAATTTCTTAGGGTGCCCTTGTTGTGACACCCTTGGGTCCACAAACGAGGGGCATTACTCCCAGACCCTCGGGGTCCTCCGTCCCAATGACTTACCACGGCTGGTCGACAAGGGACAGCCTTTGGCATGAACCCAAAGGCGGACTCAAGCTCCCTTTTTGGGGGAACGAAACACACCTGTCATCTACCAATGGTCCGTTTGCAAAAAAAGAACCTGCCCCCCCTAAAAAAAAACCCAACACCTCCTCACGCTTTGCTAATGCTACACGCGGTATATATCCGATCCATAATAGGACACTGCAAAAGTCAGACCAAAATGGTTCCAGCACAGAGCTTGCAGGGATTTGGGACTGGATCTATCCTGGATTCAGCTCTGGGTTTAGGCACGACCTGCCCTGCATTCGGCACTCACCGCTATATAGCAATCATTTGCCCCAAGAAATCTTAATGGCCATGTGTCAGAGCACAAGGCTGGGAGTCAGAATTGGTTGCACCTTTTACCAGCTTTGCAGCTGATTCACTCCTGCTCCTTGGACATGCCATTTTAGCCAAAATTTGCATATCGGGGCATCAGTATAAATTTTTTTTGAATCCCATTACCATTGAGTAGCAAGTGCTTTGTGAAACCAGAGAGCCGGAGAGCAAACTATGATCAAAAAAATCACAAAGCAGGGATGCAGCTACTTCAAATACACTCAGGTAAGGTTTGTCCTGACACCTTCATTGCCTTTTGCCTTCTCTAAGCCTGTTTGAGCGTGACAGCTCCTCGGGACAGTCATGTTGAGAGCATTTCTGGCATTTTGTTAGGCTCATCTCGCTGAACGTCAGACGTGTACCTCTGAGCGGACTGTCTAAACTGCCCTCGGAGTCAGGGGAGAGCACTGAGCTTTTCTAGGGTGTGATTCAGCAGACCCACTATGGATGTGTTCCTCAAGATGAGATGAATCCCACCACGGAAATCCCTGGTTGTTCCTCTGGGCTATAATGTGATGGTAGCTGACTTGATGAGATATCAATATCCTTGCAGAAGACTGGAATTATAGGGGAGATGGATCCCACCGCGGCCTCACCTTGTCTTAGTCACCTTAAGGTAAAGTTAGCCATCTACACATTTAGACACCCTCCACCAGCAGCAGATTAACACCTCCCAAGGGTGACTGAACCTAAGAAGGGAGTTTGAGATGAATCAATCTCAGGAGTTTCCTGCTGCTTTCACAGACATGACGAGGAGTCCCTCTGGTTGCTCCACCACGCTCCGAGCAACGGCTAGACAAGTGTAATTACACCCCAGCAAACAGAAATCTTCTAACAGAAGGACGTCATTTTTCCTATATTCAATCCTCACTAATGGAGAAAACTTCCCCCAAACACACTTTTTTATTTCTTGTTGGTAGAGGTATTATTATTGTTGTTGTTGTTGTTTTTGTCTCTCAGGAGCACAAAAATTACATCCCTTAGTTAATACATTTTTGTTTGTTAGATGCCAGAAAACTCTTTCAGCTCTGTGTAAGACAAATAAATATAGGTCTGTGCTGACCAAATTGATTTTATTCACTTTTGAACTGACAAGAGACTTCAGTTTGAGTTATGGCTTTCAAAGGCCTCATTAAAGCAAACAGCCAAGCCCTGCACAGAGCTGAAACAGGACATATTTTCAGTAAAAAGTGAGATCTTAGGGATATCTTGTCATGCAGTATTTTCCTTCCTTTTGAATTTACCCCTCACCATATCTTCCAGAATCATTTAAAGTATAATTTAAGCCAAGACAAAGTTCAATGTGATAAATGCTGACTCTTTTTTTTTTAAACAAAGCAAACAAAAAGTGAAATAATGAATTGTTTTAAAATTCTAAAATGTCTTTTTTTTTAAACTACTGTACCATCCTCTAGAGGTTAGAGTAATGGGGTTTCTCAGGGTATAAAAAGGGATTTTTGAGTTGACTTAATTTTTAAAAGAATCACAGCAGTCAAGTCAGGAATTTATCAAAGATTTAAGATAAATAATAGCCAATATGAGAAATTCCCTAACACTGAAGGTCTTGATCTTCATGATTCTTGAAAAGCAAAACTGAAGAACTTTTCATCCTCTCACTGGGACTATTTTCATGCGTAAGACATATAAGAAATGTTTTCCCAATGAGGACTCATCAGTGTTGTTCAATCAGAAAAAGTGTGCAACAATCCATATATCCAGACACAAAAAACAGCTTAGCAGGAGGTTTCACTTTCAAACATTTTACACAGTACAGCAAAGACTAGGGCTGTTTGAGAGCTATTTTTTTTTAAATGGCGGAAGTGCTGGACCTGTCATTTCTTCAAAAAAATGTGATAAACAAAGACAGCCCTTCCAGGATATTTCTAGGACACCCAGATTTCATCTGTCTGGAGTCCCACTGACAAACCAACAACTGCTCATATAAAAGTGAAACCGAATACAGCTCAGCTCATCTGCTCTGTCACAGGCTGGGACCTGCAATTCAGTCGATAATAACCTCAAATTGAAGACATAGACTTGTTAGGCATCATCTTAAAATCAGATTGTCTTGCAGGCCATGCCAAACCCAATCTTGCACCGTGCTGAGATGCAAAAGGCCCTTCACAAGCCCTTAGAAAGATTTAGCGATGTGCTTCCCACACACCAGTAATGACACAATAAGGCACACACACGTCTTATAAAAGCTCGCATGCTTTTTTTTTTTAACGCCTCCCCACTTACCTGACTCCACGGCTTCTTTAACCATCACAGCACAGTAAGGGTTAATCACCTCCCCCTGGGATGGCAGGTAAGGGCCACTGTCGTAGTTGGATAAACCAATACGCAGAAAGGGAGACATGACAAGTCCTGTGTCAAACAAAAGACAGGCGATATTTGAGAAGAGTCTAAAAATTCCCTTGATTTTAACCAGCCTCTTATCTCCGTCGGACAGGGGTACGCCGGCCGTTAGTTATCCATCCAGCTGGAGGCTCTCTGACTTCCTCCACTGTCTAGCACGATGATGGACTGACCGAGCGCCGCTTAATGTGCGTAGAGTAGCGTAACTTAGCTGTTACGCTTAACCGCGTAGCTGAACTCATCGCAGGGCTGGAAAGACCCGCAACAGCAGCTTTGAGTAGTAGTGACTTGATGCCAGCCGTCAGGAACGAGAACAACAATACACAGAAGCCAAATCGGGATTTTCTTGGCTGGGATAACCTCTGCTGCAATTAATGTTGAGTCACACGTTCAAGAACCTGAATGCTATGAGAATAGCAAGGGTTTCGGGAATACAAGGCTGTTGGAAGCCTGCAAGCTGAACATGAAACTGTGAAATAACTGTGCACTATTTATATACAGCATGGAAATGACCTCAGGCATTCAACTGCCTGGGTGCTGACCCATATTCATAAGTGAAGCTATAAGGAGAAAATTCAGCTCATATGAACCACACCGTGGAGGGAGTGGAGCAGGAAAAAAAAAAAATGGATCTCAGGATAATTTTAAGCAGCTGAAAACAGAAACATATAAAATCAAGATGCCAGGAAACACAACGAAGCCTTTGGGTTGCTCTTCTCTGTAGGCTCTTTCAGAGCTTCCAGAGAGAAGATTTAGTGAAACCAGAAATTATTAACTGCTGTAGCTGGTGCCCATCACTGTGCCATCTGTGCCAAAGGACTGGGATTTACCACCCAACCTTTGTGTCAACTTCTGACCTTGTCATTCCTGGCTCCCCTTCTAGTCAATGGGGAGCAAGAGGCACTTTGAACTCAGCTGCAGATGTCTATGTCTTGGATCACCAAAGTTAAAAGACGTGAGGACTATCACCAGCTGTTACCTGTCAAATATATTGACAACAATATATTGTTCAACAACAACAGCAAAAAGTTGAATGACTTGTGGTGTGGGATGCAGCCCAAGTCTCTTCTTTTTCCACACAAAATGCTCTACCCCAAGGGCAGCTTCTCTAGCCTCACACAGAAGAAAATCCAGATTCTTTGCTGGGAATGGCATTTTCTTACCTGTAAATGGTATTTGCTTGACAGACAGATTCAGTCTCTGGCAAGAGGGGCTTCTCTTTTCATCACAGTTGTGGACAACATGGAAAGGATTTTTTCAGCTGAAAGAACGAGGATAACTGCTCCTCTGGCTGGGCTGACTTTAAACCTTGGACTCTCTGTTCAAGGAGACAGGAGGCAAGACCATCAAGGAGAGAGGAATACTTGAGAAACCAAGACGTAGCCCTTTGCTTGAGTGTCTTCTCTCTTACCCAGCAGTGTGGAGCGATGAGTTTCCATCAGCCCCCTGTGCAAAAGTCTAGGGCGACTGTAAAACTCAGAACAACCTTCTGTTAGTGCATGGCCAGGTCACAGCAGGTTGTCGTTTTGCTTGTGTCCTGGATATGGTGAGATCTTCTCCTTTTTCCTGTTTTATAAAATGAAGACAAACAGTTAGCACTGGGACTGGAACACCAACTATTCTGGCCCGAATATTCACGAGTACTGAGCACTCACACTGCAACACTTTCTGACACTTTGGCAAATGGATGGTCCATGCAGCCAACTGCAGCTATTCTCTGATAGAGATTTCAGCCCGGGAGGCTTCCCAGGAGGTTTCCCTAAATTTGTCATCCTACATAAGGCCAATCTATACAATGGACAGTATAGGAAGGCTCTCCTTCCCGTTTGAGCTCCTGGGTAGGTTAGCTAAAAACCAGGCTGAGTTTTCAGGAAAACAGCAAAGACTCATAAACCCTTCTTGGATACTGTGCTTAAAAGAGAAGAAAACCACCAGGTTTCTGGGGAAGACAGGATAGGGCAGAAAGAGAGAAAAAAATCCTGTGACTCATGTCTACTGTGTATCCCTAGGAATGCACAGATCATGGGCCACCAGCAGCCATCAGACATCCTCTGAAGACTGTCCAAGGACCTCTGCATGTGGCATTGCCCTCAACTGGGAAAACATCAGCACTTTTGTGATTTTACAGAAGCTAGTGGGAAAGGCAAAGCACCACCTGGGGCTGGATGCACGAGATTAGGACGATCCTGTTCTCCTCTGGATGAGGACAGCATCTCTCTGAAGGGTGTTTCAGAAACACATTAGCCAAGTGCCTGATGAACTTGCTCCGGAAAGCCACTTGCATTTAGATATTCAAGCACAGGTAGTTCTGTAAGGAGGGGCATTTGTGGCACTGCACAATAGTACAGTGAATGGTTTATGAGTGGTCCATGGCACAAAAAGGCTAAAATTTCTGCCTGGACTGACAGAAGCAGAGAAATCTGATCAAATTAAGTAGGAAAAAATCTCTTTAATAGGAAGAAATATAAGTATATATATTTCCCCCCTCTGTTTGATGCAATTACTTAGCCATTTTTTTTGTTTAAAAAAATTAAGAAGCCTGCTTAGTCTAAAGACAAAAGGAAAATGAAATCAAAGGGTCTCTGTCAGCAGAAGGGAAATCCAAGTAGTTGCAAGTTCTGTCTGCACAATGTAACATCAGTATGGAAAGCTAACAAGAGCCAAAGACTAAGGCCAACAGTCAAAACATCTGCATCATGCCTCTCTGTGTGAACGGAGATGTATTCTCTCTGCCTCTACCATACTCCACTAACACTTCTGGTGACTGCTGGGCGAGAGAAGATTATGTATCCTCTTCCAAATCCCCAATTCTCACACCCCTGGCTTTAAGAACCTATTGTTCCAAGGATGGGAGCAGGAGGAAGTGCAGGGAGGGCTGTAAGCACTCCCTTACCAGGACTTTCAAAACTCACCTTTAAAAACTCAAGAGTGCTAGTCAGAATTACTAGTCAACATATTGGGCATCTAAGAACGCGAGTGTTGCTAAAGGAAGCCAAAGATTTTTTGATCACTCCTCAGCACTGAAATGTAGTAACACTATTGGCTCAAGTACTAAAGAAACAAAATTAGGGCTAAAAGTTTGAGCCTGGCATTCATTACATTTCAATTAAATCAATGTAGTTACAACACAGTTAAAACTGTGAAAGCATTTTGTCCTGCTAAATACTCACATCACTGCTCCAAAAATCTCTGGTTGGATGTGCTACAAGATACCTGTTCAGATCTGTGGATCTGCTCCCTAAACAGTGACATTTAAAACTTTTCTTAGTCTTAAATTGGACACTCTGTCCCTCCCCTCCAGTGCAACACTTCATTTTGGCTCTGTGCAATCAAGCCCTTCGTGAACAGGTTTCCCAGAGATGTTGTGGGGTTTCCGTCCTTGGAGATATTCAAAAGCCATCTGGACATGGTCCTGGGCAACTGGCTCCAAGTGGCCCTGCTTGAGCGGGAGAGTTGGACAAGATGACCTCCAGAAGTCCCTTCCAAGCTCAACCAGCCTGTGATTCTGTGAAAACATGGGTGGGACAGATCTCACCTAATCCTAGATGTCTACAGCATCTGTGTCTCCATGTGAGGCAGTTACCTGGGCTCCTGAGAGAAGAACAGAGAGAAACCAGCACCCTCAGATCATGAGCTGGACCCATTTTAGACCGCTCCGTTAGCATGTGATGAACCCGCTTCTCTCCTTTGAGAGCAAAGGGGAATGCCTGGGGGCGATCTGTTCACACGGAGCACCTCCACTGTAGAGATCTGTTTTTGATCAGATTCCTCAAGCCATTACATTTCAAGAAATCCCCTGCATTGGATCAGATCTAAAAGACTTACGCTGGGCCTGCACATAAACCGGTCTATTGCCTGAGATGTTCTGCAGCCACCAGCAAACAGGCAAGAATTTTCCACCCAGCTGCAAAGCATGTAGGTTTGGCACACCTAGTGTTAGCACCAGCAAATCAGCAGCTGCCCATACAAGCCTTGCAAAGGCTGGCTAAAAGCTGGCTAAAATCACAGCTTACTGTTGTACCAGCCTCGTGTGAGCACTCTGCCCTGGGGCGAATTTCTTCACTCCGTACAATAAATCAGACAGCTAACTGGTTTCCTGCTTCTCTCTCATTGTCTTTCCCGAAACCACCTTGGCTTTGGCCCAAACATCTGCTTTCCAGGTCATATCTCCAGCATTTGCCACTACAGGACTGCTACTTGGCTCGCATCCACAGTCATAAACAATTAAGGAACAACACAACTCAGCTCCAGCAACGGCTCACTGTAACAGCAGCAGTTTAATTTAACACTAGCAGCAGTTGCAATGGATATGGAGAGCATCTGCTTAATTTCCCAGCGGAAAAGATACTATAAGGTATCTGAAAACTAAGGATGAAATGCATCTTTCTATAAAGGGCCACCTGCAACCTCTCCTCCAATAAAACACTAAATACGGTGTAACTGGGGTTCAGCAATACTGCACCCTGCTTCGCTGGCACAGGGGAGCTTTGCCCACTCCAGAGAATAATGCAACATATGGAAATCATTCCTAGATGATATTAGGGAGTAATAAACTCCTTAATATCTTTAATCAATTGTGGTTAAGGAGAGAGGAAGAAATGACCTCCTGCTCCTAGTCAGCGGAAGAACTGCACTGAGGACAGCTGCCTTTAGTGGGATTTAGGCTTTTGTGTTTCGCTGAATGAAAATGGATGCACGCATGATACAGTAAAGATGGCAATTTACTGAACGAGGGCCAACTGAGAGGGGAGGGGAAGTATTTCTGGATTTGAGACGCTGCTTTCGTAATGTCATCAAACTCTCATTTTCTAGCGGTCAGAGGGAATATTTCCAGCTCTCTCCCCTTTTTGAGGCAAAACTGTGCATGCAAAATGCGTTCATAATATAAGGATCAGCACCACCAAGAGGGAAAGGAACCAGGAGTTACAGCTGAAGGGTACGAACTTTCCTTCACCCCCTGAAAGGCATCTCCCAGCCAGAAAGGCAGGTCCTGACCCTGCAAAGATCTGTTTATATAGCTGGTGGAGACGTGCACGTGAGCGCAACTCAACACACCTCAGGGTCTTCCTGCAGATTTCAAGAGCAACACTGAACACCAACGGTGATGGCTGCAGTCCCTCTGTCCCCTGACTCCTCATATCCCACGGACCATACAGTAGGGAACAGGGAACTAAATAACTCCCTTAAGTGACTTTCATTTTGCGTGCCTGTATCACCTGTTATTTCAAGGGAGATCAAATCAGCCTCTTCATAAAGCAGGAAGGTCAGAAACCCCCCTGGGTACCACCCAACATTTCTCACATTTTTCTTTCACAAGGGTGTGGATCAGAGGAGGAGGAGGAAAAGGAGGAGAACTTGCATAGCCATTTAATTTTCCCTTTCTCCACAGTCAGTCACCCATCTGCAGCATCTCACAAAGGCAGTGGAGGGAGAGGGCAAGGAAAGGCAGGACCAGCAGTATCTGATGGGATTGGTACAATACCAGACTCCATGCAACTAAAGAGCCTCCCAAAACTTCATGGAACGACTTGATTTCAAAACACAGGCGATGCTCTCCACGCAAACCCTTCCCCATCGTTTGCAGACACAGGCAAAGCATTTCTTCATTCACGTGGAAATGAGGCTTGAAGACTTTTCTGGAGCCCGTGGCAGGCACAGGAATGGGCATTTCTCTTTAAAAGTCTCTGGGCCACCTTGAGATGCTGTGTTTAGAGCAAGTCGCCTGTATCGGTAACAGGACCTGGTCTCATATATAGCCTACAAACACGGCTGTTTGGACTCTGCGAAGTTCACGTGGTTTCCTCCTGTTGCATTTGTTGTGCAGAAGACAAGACCGGAGCCTTAGGTTTATTTTCAGATCTTATACCTGATTTAGTGGAGTTAATGCGCATGAACAGATTTACAGCTGCGAAAGCGTTGCTATTCGTCCCACTGGGGAAACTGCAGAAAATTGCTGCTGGCAATGCCAGTGGTCACTGCATACATCCACGGACTCTAGGATGGGATCTACAACCATTCTAGCAGACACATGTATAGCTGGGTCTTAAAAACAGGGAATTCATGCTTTTCTATCCTTAGGTCTCCACATAACAATTGCTTTAGCCTGACCTAAACGCAGGCTACGTCCAAAGACATGGTTCAGCTTTCCCCCTCATCTCACACTGCAGGTTCTCAACCTCTTCCAGGAGTTTGGTGTCTGTGTATGGTAGAGGATCAGGGAACTGATTTCTCTAAAAGCAACCTTTATTTTCTTTACTTGACAAGCGAGTTTGCAGCTGC